CGTGTCGTGTGTGTGTGTGTGTGTGTGTGTGTGTGTGTGTGTGTGTGTGTGTGTGTGTGTGTGTGTGTCCGGATCCGCCTGCCTGTGTGTCTGTATGTGTGTGTTCAAATGTGTTTGCAATTCTGTACAATATTTGTGCGTGAGTGCGTATGTGTCTGTATGTACATGAGTGTATGTTTGTTTGTTTGTTTGTTTGTCTGTATCTAACACACCTGATGTTTCTCCAGTTGCCAGGCACAGCTAGGCCGTATCGGCGGTAAACAGTATGTATCGGTAGGGTACGGCTGTGAGTACACACACGTGAACGTGCACGAGATCGGACACGCTGTCGGCTTCTGGCACGAGCAGTCCCGCCCGGACAGGGACGACTGGATCGAGGTGCTGTGGGCTAACGTCGATCCAGGTAGGGAAAGTCTTTACTGTTCATATTGCATCTAAATAAAAATCTGATGAGAAGGAAGTAATCCTTAGAGATACCGATTTAAGAATAAGATACATTATGGCTTGCACAATCAATGATGTCGCTAACGAGTTAGATATAAGCGTATATAATCCCCAAGCAGATTTCTTCAACTGGTCACCGGTCTGGCTAACTATAGTGCCTTGTCTCCGATGAAATATGCTTGGAGATCAATAAGCGTACACGAAATTTTACAGAAAAAGACTAAACTTAACATTCCTATATGGCTACTTTGCGATAACAACGTGTAATTGTAAAGCCGTACACTACAGTTATGAACCAAAACTTGCCGAAGCCCTATTTATTGCTAACTTATCCTTCCTACGTCTTTTACTTCTTCCAGCCTTGAGGGAACAGTTTGAAAAGTACAGCAAGGAAGATGTGGACGATCTGGGTGAGGAGTACGACTACGGCTCCATCATGCACTATCCCTTCAACGCCTTCTCCTCCAACGGACGTAACACCATCCGCGCGCTCCGGCCTGTGGAGAACCAGCCGTACATCGAGCTCAGCGAGTCGGACGCCAGACAGGTCCAGCTCATGTACAACGAATGTAAAGGTAAGGGCTTCGTGTATTGTCTACCATGATCTAACATCTCTCTAAGTCCGTCCTGCAACTTCCAAGACCATAGGGTGTCTGCTACCAGTTACCATGATGACAGTCGACTGGTCCAGGAAGAAGAAACAGAGCAAAAATATGTTGACGATTCTCCCCATGGTAACTGGTGCTGTAGCAGACACTGTGGTGTTGCGTTACACTATTATGTAGCAAGTTGCAGGACAAAGTTAAAGAAGTTTTTAAAAAGCGAGAATAAACATTGTATTAGAATGACAGCTCATCATAAGTCTATGTCAACCATCGTCCCGGTTCAGGGAGCGTTTATTGGCTCTGCATTTTGTACAGGACTTCATAAGTCGTCTGCATTTATTCGCAATTATAATCAAATAATTTTTGTTTCAGACCGTGATGATGACGATCTGCCAGACCCCGAGAACAGAGGTGAGTAACACACAAGTTGTGGGTCTTTTTTAAATATATAAAAATGCATTGATAGCACGCTTGAGAGAACGTCCCTAACCAAAGCTAGGTAGTCATTTTTGAGTGAGGTCCAAAGTTTCCTTCCCAAGGACACAACTGTGGGGCCTGCTGGGATTCGAACCGAAAATCTTCAGTTTCAGTTTCTAAGTTAAAAACTCGAACCACAAGACCACCTTTCGGTGCGTAGTTTCTATAGTAACACACTTGTCTCCTATTCCACAGCCTGTGACGACATGCACACACAGTGTCCGACCTGGGCAGAAGCAGGGGAGTGCGAGAACAACAAGAACTGGATGTTGTACAACTGTAAGACCAGCTGCAAGACATGCGGTAAGTCATAGCGCGAAAACGTAGTTTACCAAAGCCCAAAACGACACCGTGACAAACCTTTTCAAAGGCCCTTTCCAACTCTTCCAAACCTATTTCCAACGCATCGAGGTTGTCTTGAAAATGTATTGGAAGGGTTGAAAATGACCACGGAGAAGCTGTACCGCAGTGCCGTTTTGGGCTATGCAAGTAGTTTTAGATTTGGGCCATAGGGTTTTGTTTTCATGGGGGAAATTTCTTGTAGTTGAGTGTGATGGACAGCAATCTACAACACAACATAATAATGCTAGTAACTGTCTAATATGACATAATTTCTTTATATTAAACGAATCTGTCACGTTAAACAGACGGCCCATGCCTGGATACCCACGTGCAGTGCCCACAGTGGGCGCTAGAGGGCGAGTGTGAGGAGAACGCGGAGTGGATGCTGCTGAACTGCAGGCTCAGCTGTGAGAGCTGCAACTACGACAACGTGCTCGCCGAATGTAAGGACTTTGTCTTATTTCAAAAAGTAAAGTTTCCAAACAGACATCAAACAGCTGTCAAGCTATAGCAAAATACACATTAATACGTGTAAAAAAAGTTGAAGAACAGAAAAAGGAGTCATTCTAAACCTCAGTATACGTCGAAAATCTAGATCTGGTGGGTTTTTTTAAAGCAAGATTGTCATGTAGTGTCGCTGCCCGAAACCGCATACAACCTCCAAGGAGAAAAGCACCAACAGTTGCACGCTGGTGTACGTACGCACACGCCAGTTACCGTAGGCTGCGATAGACCATGTAGATCCCGACTTGGCTTACACAGAAACCTACGAGTTCACAAAAACTTGAGAGGGAGAAGATCGCATAGACGTCATCTTCGTGAACGATGGATAACCTATAGTGTCAGTGTGACTTAGGGACTTCACACCGCATAGCTTAACCTTTACATGTTGTTGCGCCCCGTAGTGTCTGCCCTGACTATGCTCGTGGAGGTCATGGGGTTCTAAGGGCCTTCCAAGTGTTTCATACAATAATTCATTGTAGTATTCTATATTTACATGTTGTTCCGTCCCACAGTATCTGCCCTGACCATGCCGGTAGAGGCTATGCCGCCGCCCGGGGACGGAGAGATGTCCGAGGACGAGCTGGGCGGACTGCGGACAGGACCTGTCGGCAGGAGCAACGGCAGGAATTCGAAGTGTAAGACATTGTAGTTACTGTTCTTCGCTCCCTTTCGTTCCTATATATACAAATATGGGCCAACAAGTACATTTCTCGTTGGGGCGGGCCGCGGGGGGCGGTATCGACTTCCGACGAACTTTAACCCAGTACTGACGTCACGTGTGAAAAAAATCTACAACGCTTCTACAACGCTTGGGTCAGATAGCTGCTGAAGACCGAGAGATTCGGTAGAAAATTCCGTTGAGTTTATTTTGTTGACTTGGAGAACAGCCTATATTTCTCATTATGTAAGTTACCAACGCAGATAAACTTTAATGCTAGTAAGGGAATAGTGTAAGTCACGAGTGTAAGCAGTAAGTCTGAAGATGCTTCCCCTCCCCCAGATCTCCGGTCCTACCGTGTGATCAACAACGCCTGCATCCGGGGTCACAACCAGCTGGGCACCTTCCGCGACACCACCCTCAGGAAGTGCGTCAAGCGCTGTGACGAAGACGTCAGGTGAGCGATGACGCTTTCTTACAAATGACTAGTTGCCATGACAACAATACTGACAAATGTTAAGATATCGTGTAACGGTTATTGCGACAGTAGCAGCGTTGAATTATTGTGGGTCACTGAGCTGTATTCCAACACAAAGAAATCGAAAGAACTACTAAGTAAACTTTTCCGTTTTAGCCTTCGTCATTGACAAAGACCGCTGAGGACACGTGGTCAATACAGGACACGTGACGCCAGCCATTGGTTACAGATGAGATGTCAGTACTGCTTAGACTACTACTGACTTTAACAGGGGGAGGGAAGGAATGTGAAAAAATAGTAAAACGAACATGTACGAATGGATTTATTCATTGAAAGGCACACATTTGTATATTTTTTTTGACAGATGTAAGTCGTTTGACCACGTGCCCAGCGAGCGGCACTGTTCCCTTTCCCTGGACACACGTGGCACCCAGCCTGAAGCCTTCAAGGCCTGCGACCCGGCCTGGAAGAGGATCACCACTTACTACGAGAAGAAGCCCACAGAGCCTGAACAGGAGTCGTCAGAAGAAGAAGAGGAAGAAGAAGATGGACGGCCTGCGTCTGGTATGTATCTTAGACATCCTCCATGTCTGTATGTCCAAAACCAGTCACTGTTGAAACTAGCCTGTATATACGTATCCAAGCATTGAGTTAAAAGACCTCTTTTCCAGCCCGATGGTCCAAGCTTCCGTAGTCTCCACCAAACTAACAAAACAGTATACTAGTAATTGAGCCAAATAAGGATAAGTATAAGTATTTTTGCCCAATTCTGCACAGTACAAAAGAAGAAGAACGCAACAAGTACTGTATGTCTTGTCTGTCTTGGTGTCTACAACTGTTCTAATCTATCGTCTACTCCACATTTCTCTCTTTTGTATGCATACGGAATCATATTCTGAGCCGGTTGGTGAGGCCAAAGCTGTTCTATAAACAGTTAAAAAATACTTCGAAGGTTGAGAAATAAAGGGAACTTGTTTCCAACGGAAACGTACGTACGTTTCTGCCATTTGAAGACGTTCATGACCAAGTACCAAGATAATTGCCCTCATGCTGCCCAATCAGATATTCCCATTTTGGCCCCCGGTCAGCTTTTTCAAAAACATTTATTGTTAAATGATCTATGTTGTAGTTATGGACGGATTCTACGTCATCAAGAACACCTGCCTGAAAGGCCGGTCCCAACTGGCCATGGGGAACTATTATGACGTCACTGTGGAGCAGTGCGCTGAGAAATGTGCTGAAGCCTCGAGGTAGGAACATGTCAACACAAGTTTGGTTGGATAGGTCAGAAGTTTTGAACCCGTAGGCGAGTGAACCAACATTCAGCAATGAGGCAATCTTGCAATATGAATAGGGTAGTAAACTTTTGCCCGAGAAAGTAACTCTCTCGTATTGAGAAAAGACAAGCTGTTTCCGTTAATTAAAAAAAAAAAAAGAGAAACCTTGATATAACAGGAGACATAACAGAAAAAAGACGAGAGGACCTATTCCTCAGGCTAACCGACATCTTTCACACCACAGTCGTCCCTCAGTAAAGACATCTAGAGCCGCATAGTCCCCGTTTAGACCTTTTATGTAGCCTCTGTACACCTGAAGAAGCCCACAGGACGAAACCGGTTGTGACAGGCTCGACTTTATAATGCACCACATATCAGAGAGTGATTGAATCTTGCCGTATCCACTGTAGATGCCGTTCCTTTAACTACGTGTCGTCCTACCGCTCCTGTCACCTGTCCATGGACACCCGCGCCACGGCCGTGGACGAGTGTCTGGAGGAGTACAGCGTCATCTCTGACTTCTACGAGAAGAAACCTGAAGGCACGTCATGGCTGTACAATATTCTTTTTATATATATTCCAACATTTCATGACCAAGCTTGGCGACAGTACACTCAAGTTATATCAACTTATTTTATGCCGCCATCAACACAGAGTACAAATACAGGACAGGACAATACTCATTTTCACTAGAGTTAAGTGAGGAAAGTTGTGTAAAGTGCCTTTCCCAAGGGCACAAGATTGGTGGCATGTCAGGGCTCGAACCCGGGACCTCTTGGTTACGAGTCGAGCATTCTGCCGCTACGCCACACGACCCCACAAATATTATTCTCAATCTGATACTCAGTACGCTGAGCAGTTGTCCTTGCGATTGTTTTGTATACAAGTTACACGTCCTGAAAAAAATCAATAGTTGTAGGCGTTGAATAGAAGCCTCCACATACACAATGACGAAAAATCACAACGTATTCTACCCTCTCTCTTCTTTCCTCCGTCTATCTGCTGGATACTTTTCGTGATGCTTTTCTCAAATGCTGGAATGCAATTTACCAGCTCTCCTGTTGTGTTTCTATGCCATGTTCTCTACCATGCATGACCATCTACGTTTTCCAGCTTCTCCTTTGTCCGTACGTTCCCCCCTATGGACTTTCCTGTGATTTTTTTTCGCACACAAGAAGGCTTGGTTGTGTACCTTCAAAGATTTTAATGGTTTTGCCTTTTTTTATCCTACAGTTGAGTTCCTGTTGATCAGGGAAGCTTGTATCCTGGGTAAGAACCAGCTGGGCTCGTTCTATGGCCAGACCGTGGAGGAATGTAAGCTGCGCTGTGGGCAGAACGAGAGGTGAGAGATTCTGACGAAAGACATTCCAGCCTAAAATTGAATGAAACAATGTTTAAAATGCCCCCTGTTTGTGTTGTGAGAAATTGCACCGGGACATCGATCAGCTGCAGTCTTGCTGATGAGGTATTCATCAAGACTTCATTCAGTCCTGTTGGTGCTATTCAGCACCAGGGACACTACTCCTACTGGTGCGAATTCAGTACCAGGGACAGGGGCATTCAGTCTTGTTGGTGTGTAATTCAGCACCAAGGACAGGGACACCAGTCCTGTTGGTGCATCATTCAACACCAAGGAGAGTGTTTCATATTTGCAACGGGTTATCAGCCTTGTGCTTGTGTGATGTGACATTCAGCACCAAGGACAGGGAGTGGTTCAATGCTAAAAACTGTTTAACAACTGTTAAAAACAACGCCCATCATCGAAATTCCCTTTGTGATAGCGCGCAACCATTCCTTTTTATGTAGACTATTCAGTTCCTGTTATTTTGTCAAGACGTAACATGCAGAACATTTTCTTGCCGCCAGGTGTCTCTCCTTTGACTACGTGAGCTCGTACCGTTCCTGCCACCTGTCCACCGACAACAGGCAGTCGGCCCGGGCGGCGTTCGACAGCTGCCCGGCGTGGTTCAGGCCACAGTCTAATTACTACGAGCGGGTCGTGGACGGTAGGTTGCGCTTTACGCTTACCTTCGCAGAAGGAATACATATTGTTTTTGCTATGTTTCTTCTTTCCCCCCTCCCCCTTCTTCTTTATAATTAAATTTCTCTCCTTTTTTTTGCAAAAAAAAAATAAAGTCAATGACCTGGACCAGTCGTTTGTCACCATGGTAACTGGTGCTGTAGAAGGCACCCTGTGGTGTTGGGTTACATTATGTAGCAGGACAGAGCGGGAGGGGCTGCTCACTATATATCATATTCTTATTATCAGATCGATGAAGTGTTTTAAAATCTTGTTTCAGGAACCGACCCAGTCGTCACTGACGCTCCCATCCCGCCAACTACCACTACAACGCCTCAAACAACAACAACAACCACCACAGAAGCAACTACAACAACCCAACGCATGACCGAAGCCCCCACTACTGGTCCACCCGGCACCAAGCCCCCAACGAGGCCCACCATCGTACCAGGTCAGATACAGCAAACCTAGGGTATCATTTCTAGCCAACGGCAAGTTTGAATTTAAAATAGTTGAAAGTCTTTAACAAGTTATTGAAATCTAGGGAAAGCAGTGTGTCGGCCTCTTAAGATAAAATGTTTTACTTCCCCAAACGAGGCCAGGTACCCATTTTAGACCTGGTTGTAGTAAGGAAAGTGGTGTGAAGATCCTTTTAGAACTCAAAACTAGCCAATAATGCAAGGAATCGAACCAGCGACCTCTCGATCTTGTGTCCACTCGGCTAGCAGCTGGGCAATTCGATGTAGAAACTGAGTCACTGTGAAACGATCTTATAACTGCATGTAAAAGAAATCACTTCAAAGAGTGTCAGCTCCAATATATTTTCTCTGACAGAGTGCTTTTATCGTTCACTGCTGTATCTAAAATGTCGGAAATTTTCTGATCGGTGCCCTTTTCTTTTCCCCAGGTTCCTGTTCCACCCCGCTTGGTCTGGGGAAGGAGAGCGGCTACTCCCTGCCTGACGCGCAGCTGAGCGCCTCCTCCAGCCTGGACTACGGCACCTGGTCCGTCGGCCCCGAGAACGCCAGACTCAACTTCGAGGACGACTATCAGAGGTACAGTGACTCCCTCTGTCGATATTGTAAGAAACTGCACCGGGGCATCAGTGTTGCTGCTGTGACATACGACTCATTAAGCAAGAAGGGGTTGGTATCCAGAACCATGCTCACGTCCTCAGGCACGGTTCTGGCTATCCAGAACCTTGGATACGCAGAGACTACCCAGAACTGTACCTGATCCTAATACTAACCTATTCGTGCATACAGCTAGATAGGCACGGTTCTGGATACTATAGAGACTATCTAGAACCACCCATGTTCCAAAACCCAACCCATTTAGGCACAAAACTTGATAGGGTTAACGTTCTGGATGCAATAATGAGCAGGGACACCAGTCCTGTTGATGAGTCATTCAGCACCAAGGACAGGGAGGTTTTTTTATTGCTCGTAGATTTGCATATGATTGACGTTTGACGATGTTGTGTTGCCAGGCAACGCGTGGGGGCGTGGTGCGCGGCCAGCTCGGACGCCGGAGAGTACCTGCAGATCGACCTGGGCCGTACCAAACAGATCACGGGGGTGGCCACGCAGGGGAGGGACAAGTACTTCGAACACGTCAAGTCGTACACGCTGACCTACAGTCTGGACGGGAGGACGTGGCGAGAGTACAAGGACGGTGGAAGGGCAAAGGTACGATGGTCTTAGATTCGAATGAAAGCTCATCTGCGTTGGTAGAACCCGTGGTTGTAAAATTTGACCTTTGACTTTGTTCCAACACTGAAGCACTCATCAGAACAACGTAACGCAATATTGCATGATCCTAACTTTGAATACTAGTATCAATGTCACAAAATGTGTATCAGAACGCAGAGCTCAGTTGTTCTAAACGTAACTTCAATGTTCTAAACTTTTAAGCAATGTACCTCATGTCTAACTTAATGATTGTCTTCTGTTTAGTTTAACTTAATAACCAGGCTGTACATTTATGTTCTGAATGCTGTGGGTCGAGTATAACCATTAAAGCAAAAAAAAAAGAAAGTTGAAAGTTCAACCAACGTGACCTTGGCACTCTCTCCAGGTGTTTGAAGGGAACTGTGATCACGTGACACCGGTGACCAATCAGCTGCCCTCACCCATCACGGCCCGGTACATGCGCATTGTGGTGGTGGACAGCAACTACCCGTGCATGCGCGCTGAGCTGTACGGCTGTGACACAGGTCAGGGGTCATTTCTTTACATTAACTCTTCAAACTTTAGAAAAGAATCAACACATAAGAAAACAGTTACTCAAATAATCGAATAGGTTTTGAAAACTGTCCGACGTTTCAGGTACATATGTAGCATCCACTCCTTTAAGTCAGTGACTGACGTAATCTGTAGTAATGAATAGATACCTATCCAAAAACTACAGGAGACAAATTTTAGACATCCCATAGTAAACAAAAAAAATTAGTCAAACGATCAAACTTAATCTGACAGTTTTCAAAATCTATCCAGCTGCTTGAGTAACTGTTTTCCTGTGTATCTCATTGTTTGGATGTCTATTAAACCTTCATCGACGTATATCGACGCACCTCAAAAGAGGATGACCTGAACTGAATTCGAACTGAACGACGTATAGATATACTCAAGATTAGTCTAAAAGCTACTGTCGTTTATCTATGCCATGCTTGTGCTGTTCGTGGTTAATGTAATATCTTAAACTAAATAACGTTTAAAACAGTTCAATAAAAGTTTGTCAACCAATCCTTTCTTACCCTTGTGACTTCAGATGGAGAGACGCCGTCAGATGGTGACAACCCTGGGGACGGGGACAACCCTGGCGACGACAACAACCCTGGGGACGAGAACCCTGGGGAGGGGGGCGATGACTACTATGATTACTATGACGATTCCAATCCCATCATTCCTTGAGTTTTAACGATATGAATCCCACTTCATAGCCAAATTTATCAACATATAGTAAAAAAAATCTTTGCTACCTGAGCAATAGCGGTACTCAAATAAGTAGAATCTAGTTCACCCTAATGTCTGAATGAAACAGGCCCATTCCAACTCAGTGATAACCAAAGGTCAATATTAAAATTACTGTGCATCATGAAGAAAACGGAAAACGACGTTAACCGAAATCGTATATTTATACTCAAATTCATGACCAAATATTTAAAAATGTGAATAATTCTCGATGGGAACCATTTGTGAGTCATACTACCACAAATGTAGCAATGTTTCTAGTGATGTATCAGAAAATATTTTTCATATCTAGGAGCAATTAATTAGACATTTATACAAAATTAGGTCATGATATAACAGTTTTTTAGAATGAAGCGTCCATCTTTGATGTGTCAGACAATATGTGCATTTTTTTACGATGAATCTAGTCTACTATGATATTTCTCGACTCCTGTTTATATTTCAAGTCGCATGTACAAATGTATGGCAGGTTGTACTGCGGCCATGTTAACAAAGCCTAAGATATAGAATCAGTTCATGAAGCAAAGTAAGAGCGATATATTGAAGCGTATGTAAATCTCAGTACGATTATTAAAAGAAATAAATGCGTTTTAATCTGTATCATTAAGCCTCTGTTACTTTTGAATAATAGGCAAATGTGCAAGGAGCCCCATTACAAATCGGATGGCACCCAGGCCAGTGATCTTCATGTTCTTATAATTTTGTCATCCATTTACGGGCAGTAGAGTACAAGTATGTACCAATGACCTCCACCTAGTATAGAAAAACACAACCGTCTTACGTCATGTTACGACTATGTCTCTATGGCAACCAGATTAGCGGGTAAGGATTGAAACCTTGGCCTCCGCTAATGTCGTTTTCTCACAAGATAATCAAATAAGCCCGGCGTTGCTCTGTATTTTCTGATGTGATTAAAATTATATGCTCGGTCTCTCAAAAACACAGGCAGCCACAGAGACCTATTAATCAGAAAGAACCCAGGCATTCTAAAGACCCTAATTGTGTTATTTACTGTTGGAAAATAAAGGCTTATAGAGCTGGCAGAAATAAGTGGTCGTCTCTAAGGAAATCTGTGATTGGCCAAACGTCACGTGACCGGATGGATTCAGTGATTCATCATGGAGTCTTTAACGAACAACGTCTTTCCTTCATTTTGAATGACGTAGGTTTTTGAAGCCTCTATTTGTCTCTGTCAGTGAAAAATCGAACTTTGTACATGAACTTGCAATTATATATGAATATTTTCTCGCAGACAATGTGCTGGGGCGTTAATTTTCTTTTCTAAAGAATAATCAATGCTTAAAAGGCACCCGAAGCGAATTTCAGGGCAGTAATACTGGATTTTCAAAGTCGTAGTAACATGAATCAATCCTACCCCATAGCATCTGTGAGGCAAGAATGCGATGTCACTGATGGAAAATTTCGTGACGTAGGCTGGTTCTAACTATTTACTGTTAGTTCCAAAAATGGGACACCTCGTTTAGCTTATTTTGGAACTACATGTATTTTAAACACTTCATGATCAAGCATAAAATAATGACGAAGATGTGTTAAGGGGAGTAAGTGTCAATATCAGACAGATTTCCTCAGTAATTGTTTTTCCTTTTGCCGCCCTGAAATTGTATTGGATGCCTTTAAGGGGTTCGTAATTTATTTACGGTCGCGAACTCTGAGCATTGTCTAAAGAGATCTAGTGATGATGCCCTAACTGTACTCATGTCGTCACATTTCATCAGAGAAGCTACTCTTCAAGCAGAGGTCGGTGGAGAAGATTGTGAACTTGTGAAGAGAGAGATCGAGAGAGAGAGAGGGGGAGAGAGAGATGGAGAGAGAGGGAGAGAGATGGAGAGAGGGAGAGAGAGAGATAGAGAGAGAGAGAAATAGAGAGAGAGAGAGAGAGAGGTCACAATCTTCTGCACCAATCTCTGCTCGGAGAGTACCCAGAAGCGGGCTCCTCGGCATCGCGTGCGAACTTGGCTGCCGCCGACAGCCTGCTGAATAATACATCAGTCCGAGATGAGATCTCCTCGTCCTAATTCACGCTGACACGGCCGGGCTAGGAGCTCGCCTTGCGGCCATAACGGGAGGGCCAAGATCACGGTAGAGGTCATCCGGCGCTACCCTCCGCGTAGACCAGTGCAAACTTTCTTGGCTCCGAGATTTTAACGGTCTGCATTGATTTCTAGAGTGCGCAGAGACCTTTAGCCATGGCCCATGATTTCTAGTCTCCACCAGACTATTATTAATATA